ATATATATATATATATATATATATATATATATATATATATAAGTGGAAATTATGGTATCTGATTCGAACTATTCCCCCCCCCCAAAAATCAGTAACAATGTTATAATTATATAACCTGTAGATTATTATTAATCCAGGTTTTTCCAATGAACGAAAAGAATCGGGCGAATATCTAACTGAACGACGGTTTCAGCTGATAACAGTTATACTATCCAACTCCCAAGCCATCCATTTTGTTAAATGACAGATCCTTCAGGGACGATCTTGACTATTCAGATTACTAACTGGACGTCAAGTGAAACACACTTACACACACACACACGCGCGTATATATATATATATATATAATTATTTATTTAAAATATGATTCCAACGCTACATAAGAGTTCTCATTTCAATATAATTATTTGAATTAAATTGAATTAAAGTACCAATATCTTCATTTTTTTTTGAATAACTTATTTCTGAAATTTACGTGTTTTATAAGCATATTCATTATTGATATAAAATTTCTATGGTAACGGCTAGAGCAATGTTTAAAGAAAAAAGGGCGTATTAATAATTTGTATCATTTTTATATATATATATATATATATATATATATATATATATATGTTATATATCTTTAATATGAAAGAACGATTGCGTCCAGTATGAATCAACTCTGTCGTGTTTATATTGAGCTTTTTACCACACCTTAAAACTATATTTCTTCATCAATATATATATATATATATATATATATATATAAACTATATATATATATACCCTTTCTTAATCTTGAAATATGAAAAAAAAGAGCTGTGTTTAATTTTTGCATGAGTTCAAGTTTGGTTATGTTGCTTCTCAAACTATTGGGATCATCATTAACAAGGCATGGGGGAAGAATCCACTTGTAATCGGAGAGTACGGTGTTGGTTGCTGAAGTTCCGCAGCGGGGATACGAGTCTTGAAGATCAAGGTGGTAGAGGATGTCCATCTGCAATTGAAAGTCAACATCTGAAAATACTAGTCGAACAAAAACCCACTTGAAAGAGTCTTAGAAATGTCTCAGATAATGTGGCCGAACATTTCGCCGAGAGACATTTGGACGATATTCAGTCACCCCCCTACGATGGTGTCATGTGGCACAAGGCCTTTTTAACGTGGGCATTCCCGAGCCATTAGGCTAGGCCAAAAAATAGCCCATGGTAAAACTGGGCCGGTTTTACCTCCCCGAAGGAGACTTCGCCCTTCGGCGTAGCCTCCTTCGGGTTCCTCCCGCCCGTAGGAAGAGAGTTTAACCGAACAGTCAGTTCAGAGTTGAACGACTGACGATATTCAGTCACCCCCACGAGGGTGTCATGTGGCACAAGGCCTTTTTAATGTAAGCATTCCCGAGCCATTAGGCTCGGCAAAAAAAAAATAGCCCATTTGAACCTGTATAAACGGGTTCAGGGCCGTTTTTACCTCCCCGAAGGAGACTTCGGGTTCCTCGCGCCCGTAGGAAGAGAGTTGAACCGAACAGTCGCTCAGAAAGTGAGAGACATTTGGACGACAGACATTTGGACGACGGACATTTGGCTGAACGGACATTTCACCGAAAAAGTACAAGTAAAAATAGTACCAAGCAATACTTTAAGTATTTTAATTAACATTATTATAAGGTAGACTAGGACTAATAATTACCACTGAATTTCAAGTGATTAAATTACTAAATCTAAATTTAAAGTTAAAAGTTTTCTTACTTCAATATTTGTTTACTGAAATTACTATTTTAAAAATATTTGCGTGTGTTTGGGTAAAAATTAGCAGCTAATTATTTAAACTCGTATTTAACAGTAAGATAAAAGCTAGTTCATCCCTTTAAGATAATGATCATTAAAAGCGAAATTGAAAGATCTTTCATATCGTAAAAGCTTAAGTTTTTAGTAATTTAATCATGAATCATAAAATGATGGCGAGGGTATGAACCCAGCAGACGAAATAATAATATAACACAAAGATAAAACTGAAACAAAACATATGTTAGTAAGACCCGTCCATCCCTCAAAATAATCAGTGGCCGCTGTATTCTGCCGATAGACAGAATCAAGAAGCCCACTCACTAATAGAATGGGACAAATGACGGAATTGGAAAATCAAAGTCTCGCCCAACCGAGATAAAAAAAAAGGGGCAAAAAAACAAATTGATCATTTCCATAAATACTAGATATTTATTCTGAATCATACAGAATTATGGCACAAGGTCTCTTATATCCGGGGGGAGAAAAAAGAGGGGGTGGGTTTCATTGACTATCCTAGTCCTAGTTAATCAGATTCGCGACCCATATATTCATTGCAATTTGCTCATTCACCAAAAGAAATTGTTCATTATCTCTCGATCCTGCATTCACCAAAATACCGCATATTCACCCGGGGGGGGGTGCTACAAAAACACACCAGCAGATAAAAAACTGATGAAAAGCCCAAAATATCTTTCTTTTTTTTTTACTTTTTTTTTTTTTTTTTTTTTTTACAAATTATATAAACATTTCATGATTCCCGTAATGATGGGGAGGGAAAATAACCCCGAAAACAAACTAAAATTTAACACAAAGATAAAATCAAAACAAATGTTAGTAGGACCCGTCCACCCCTCAAAATAATAAATGTGGCTGCTGTATTCTGTCGATAGACAGAATCAGGAAGCACATTCACTAATGGGAAGAATGAAAATAAATAACGGAATTGGTAAATCAAATTCTAACCCGGCCTAGATGAGAAAAAAGGGAAAAAAAAACAAATTCCTTATAAATAAATACTATTTATTATTGTATATACAGTGTAACCCGGATATAAGAGAAACCCGAATATAAGATAGATTTTCTCTATCCCAAATTAGAGCCTGTGTTAATGTATATAAAATAGACCCAACCGGGATATAAGAGAAACCCGGATATAAGATACTTCTTCTCCGGTCCCGACAACTCTCTTATATCCGGGTTACACTGTACAATAATTGTGGCAAATGGCCGAAACGGGTAGTGGGGAGAGGCTGGTCTTCACTATCCTGTTTCTAGTTAATCAAATACATGACCCATTCATCCAATACAATTGCTCCATTTACCACAAGAACTATTTCATCACCATTCATGCCTACATATACCATAATACCACATACTCATCGGAGACACCTACAAAACACACCCTATGATATAAAAATTTCAAATTCCTGAATGAAAAAATATATAAAAATTTCATGAAGTATGGAATGAGGGTGAGGGAATGAACACCGAAAACAAACTAAAATTGGAACAAAATAAACTGAAACAAAACAGCAGTTAGTAAGACCCATCCAGCCCTCAATGCGTGTGGCCGCTGTATTCCGTCGATAGACAGAATCAAGAAGCTCACATCATTAATGGAATGGGAAGGATGAAAATAAATGACGATAAAATTAGCACCTAATTATTTTAAGTCGTATTTAACAACAAGATAAAAGCTAGATCATCCCTCTAAGATAATGATCATTAAAAGCGAAATTGAAAGATCTTTCATATCGTAAAAAGCTGAAGTTTTTTTTAGTAATTTAATCATGAAACATGAAATGGTGGCGAGGGGATGAACCCAGCAAACGAACTAATAATGTAACACAAAGATAAAACTAAAACAAAACAGATGTTATAAGACCCGTGTACCCTTCAAAATAAACAGAGTGGCCACTGTATTCTGCCGATATAATTATTTTGTACAAAATACAAAATTGAGGCACAAGGCCGAAGGGGAGGTGGGAAAAAGGCCGGTCTTTCACTAGCTATCCTATTCCTAGTTAAACACAATCATGAACGATTCATACATTACAATTACACATTCGCCACAAGAACTCATCCATCACCTTTCAATCCTGCACACACCACAATGCCACATATACACAAGGGTCCTACAAAACACCCATGAATTAAAAATTTTAATGTTCAAGGATAATTTTTTTTAAGAATTACGCTCCGAGCAAGGCGTGAAGCCACTAGGATGCAGGGGGTTGCAGAAGATTTGGAGCGAGAGCAGATAGGAGTGATAAAAGAAAGGATGAGGAGAAGGATAGTGGGTAGATCAACGTAACTGGAGATGTCGATTGACATTACATTTGAATAGTTGGAGATTATAGCTCTCAGGGAAACAGTAATTGGGAAGGGTGTTCCACAGGAGAGAGGTGAGGTATGAAGCTATTGAGTAGAAGAGACGGCTACATTTAAAAGTTTCTACAGTGTAAGGGTGAGAGCGGGATGCCAGCCTCGTAAGGCGCTTGAATTCATGGAGTCTGGGAACCAGTGAAAGCAGCTCATCGGAGCAGTTACCATGAAAGTATTTGTAGAAAAGACAGAGAGAGGCGACGGCGCGTCTGTGAGAGAGTGACAGTAGACGAGACGCCAGAATAAAAATTCTATGAAACATGAAATGATGGGGAGGGGATATGAACCTCGACAAGAAACTCAAAACGTCAACCAAAGACAAAACGAAAGCAAAACAATGTTAGTAGGACCCGTCCATCCCCTCAAAATAATAAATGTGGCTGCTGTATTCGATCAATAGACAAGAATCAAGAAGCACACTCACTAATGTAATGGGGTAAATGACGGAATTGGAAAATCAAAGTCTGATCCGGCCTAGATGAGAAAAAAAGGGGGGTAAAAAAACAAATTGGTCATTCCCATAAATTCTATGCCAAAACTTTTACGCAACAATGTGCTTTTTAATAAAAGTAGATATGCAAATTTTACTTTGTAAAATTCTTCAAATTTGGTTGGATAGAATCAGAATTCTATTAATCTTTATGAGACGCTTGCCTATCGTCGCCACACTTTAAAACGATGTTATTGAGACACTGGGTGCAGGTCCTCGTTTTGCTATCTGGTCTCTGGATGATTCAGACAAACAGCTACGCGCCAGCTACAAAAAAACCACACTTCGATGATTCGGAACACAGGAATGAGATTAAACCGCATGAAAAAGGTTCCAAATCCCAGGTTGAGGAATCTTGCATGAAACCTGACTTGTTCCCTAAAGAGAAGCTTCGTGTGCAAGAAAAAGGGGCGTCGCCAACTTCAGTTTCACCTGAAACTGACGCTGGTTCCTCCCTAGGTGATATCGTTGAAACCAACGCTGGTTCCTCCCTAGGTGATATCGTTGAAACCAACACTGGTTCCTCCCCTAGGTGATATCGTTGAAACCAACGCTGGTTCCTCCCTAGGTGATATCGTTGAAACCAACGCTGGTTCCTCCCCAGGTGATATCGTTGAAACCAACGCTGGTTCCTCCCCAGGTGATATCGTTGAAACCAACGCTGGTTCCTCCCAGGTGATATCGTTGAAACCAACGCTGGTTCCTCCCTAGGTGATATCGTTGAAACCAACGCTGGTTCCTCCCTAGGTGATATCGTTGAAACCAACGCTGGTTCCTCCCTAGGTGATATCGTTGAAACCAACGCTGGTTCCTCCCTAGGTGATATCGTTGAAACCAACGCTGGTTCCTCCCTAGGTGATATCGTTGAAACCAACGCCAGTGCGGAAACTGCCAGAATTCGCAACGAAACGGTACTTGTCGTTTCACAGCAACTGATAATAGCGATCACGGTGTCTGGCTTTTTTGGGCTAATCGTCTATGTCATCTATTGTGCCGCTGTACGACCCACTCTGGACGAAAAAGGATCGGACCAAGAACTGGAGACTAGCGATGTTGACCAACATAATGAAATCGAAACGATTTTCAAAGAACGTCTTCGACAGGCGAACTCTGACAGAGATGGCGTATGCACAGAAATGGAGACATATACTTTATTACAAGAGTGAATATTTAGCTGAAATTGATTCTCTTCCATAGAATATCAACCCTAGAACACTAACCATGGGTATATAGTACCCAGCGCAAATTTTCCTATTTTTAATTACAATTTTCAGTACCTGATTTTCTTACCTAAATAATGTTTTTTTTTTAATTCCTATTAATTTTAACTCAAAGTACAAAGTTTGTTGTGCCTGCATGTAAAATATTTCAAGTAAAGATTTATATTTATTTTATTTATTTATTTATTTTTTGATATTTTCAAAATCGGGTATGATATACCCATGGTTAGTAGTGGTGTAACTTTAATTGATGGTTAGTGTTCTAGAGTTAAGGGAAAAATGCTATTTATTTCTAATAGCTCTTTAATTAAATTTTCCTTGTCCTGTATTAAAAATAATTTAAAATAAACTTTATTTCTCAGTAAATTCAAATAAGTTTTACGAAAATAGACTTGTCACAAGTTGTTTTTTATTTTTATTTTTTTTTGCCTTGATCATATCAAGTTGTTTTAATATTTGAATTAAAAAAAATACTTTTCTGAGCATAAAACGGAAGTCTGTCTACGTTTACTTTTGTTCCGTATGCTAGTCGACCGCTTCAACTTTATCTGATTCTAATCTGTTTTAATGAGGAAACCGCTCTTTTCAAAGTCTTCCCTCGGAGAAAAAAAAAAAAACTTCAATATCTCGAGGTGAAATTTTTCTTTCCGAATTTGACGATTTCAATAAGAGTTTCCACTTAATTTTTTTTTGGGGTATTTCATAACCATATATTTGTAATTTTCTCCGTCAGTTTGCTGACATTAAACAATTTAACGAACGGGAGAGGTGCACTATTCTTCTTCTACAGTCGGAAAAAGATCCAATGTATTTATTGAAACAATGAAATTTCTAATCGTGGAGTATAAGGAAATAATTACACATCCTTTTCCACTGGTCATGAATGTTTTGGTGTAATCTCGATCCACGAAAACATTGCTGATTTTTATTTCAAAACCCTTGATAACACTGGCCTATTCAAGCAAAGTTGACAAACAATTTAATTATCTGAAATCCAACTAAAAGTTTCTTATTGTGAGAACTTCCACTGTACAGTTTTAAAATATTTCAAATTCACAATATCTATCTATATAGGTCTGTTCATATCTATCTTTTAAACTACAATCTTCCATGAATCTCTCACGTACATTCATATCTCCTCAATGCATATCCAAATGTAAACAAATGACGTCACATTTTATGAAAGGGACAAAAAAAAAATAAATAAAAGCAGTAAAATCGACTTTACTAATCGGACGCTCCTCTGTGGCTCAATCAGTTAAGGCACGTCAAGTTATATGACGGTTCTGTATAAGATACAGGTTCGGTTCCTGTCGGAGACGAATATTTTCTATGAAAATTTCTCGGACATTCAGGCCGGTAAATGTTATTAATACTGTTTATTATAAAACAGAGCATTTACTTAAATATTTTTATCTATAAAAAGAATGTATAAATATAAAAATGTCTTAAAATAATTGTCGGACTTTGTCCATTTCATACAGTTATTTCTTAATAACAATATCACCTAACAGATTCAGATACAGAATTTGAAATATTTCAAACTTAAAAAAATGTATCCAATTTTTCGTGTGTCAATAATATACTTTGTTCATAAAAGCAATTAAATGATTTTTTAAATTAAATATCGAGTTAATTTTACTGCATTTTTTATTTTACGATTCTGAGAAGAATTTCGCTAACTGGTGGTCATGTTTTACAAAAAAAAAAAAAATAATGATTTAAATTCTTCAAGATGTCCTACATATAAATAATATAAAACAAACTTTAACTCTTAAAAAATGAATTTCTAAAATTTTCATAAATGAAATAAGTGGATGTGGAGGGAGGGGGTAACAAATCCAAAAAAAAATTTTTTTTACGATGATTTTCTAAAGAGAAATATTTCTAAAATTGTTCCATTCATTTGTGAATAAGTCCTGAAGGTTTTGTTAAAATCCAAAAGTTATACGATTTTTGCAAGAAAACCTAAATCGATGGGTTTTTCACTGCAAAAAAGACGCTAAAATTCCCTATGCTAATATTTCCTCCTCCGCTGAAAACTTTTCAATAAAAATTTCGAACGTTCTAAAAAGGATTAAAAATATAATTTAGTAACCAAAATATCCTATGTGACAAGCGAAAAGACGCCAAAAATTAGATTTATAGCTTATACCAATGTCTGCTTAGTTTTAAACACTGTCTGAACATTGATGGGAACTATATTCAAACCAGAATTCTACTTATGAATCATCACAAGCAAAATATGCATTTTTTTTACTGTATTCAATAAGTAAAAACTGTCTAAAAAATTGTAAAAAATTTAAAAAAAATTCTAATCAATGAATAAGATTTGTTAGCGCATAATTAATAAATATAAAAATACATAAAAGTGTATATAACACCATAATACTACTAGGGACAAATTTCTGTCTATATCTCTGACATGAGGTATCATAATTACTTGCATTACTTACATTATTCGGACTGTTGTCCTCATCTTCATTGCCATATTCACGACGTTTGGGCCGTTGTACGCTCCGGCCTTCTTCAGGTGATAGAATCTCTGATATGAGGTATCGTAATTACTTGCATTATTTACATTATTCGGACTGTTGTCCTCATCTTCATTGCCATATTCACGACGTTTCGGCCTCTATATAACTGAGATGAGGTATTATGATTTCTTAAATTATTTACATTATACGGAGTTTTATCTTCATCTTCATTGCCATATTCACAATATTTCGGCCGTTTTACGCTCCGGCATTCTTCAGGTGATTAGAATTTTTATTCAATATCTGTCTATATCTCTGAGCTGAGGTATTATGATTACTTACATTATTTACATTATTGGGACTGTTATGTTCATTTTCATTTCCATAATCACAAGGACACATGGCCCAGTGGATAAAGACGTTGGTTAGATCCAGTGACTAGACACAAAGAGTTGTGAATTCAATACCAGGCCACAGCAATGGTGAACAAAAACTTGAAAAAATGAGTTAAAGAGAAATAACTGAGACACCTGGAAGAGGCATGACACGTAGAATTAGAATAATCTACCACTGTGGGCAAAATAAATGGTTCGGTTTGAAAATTAAATCGGCCGAAACGTTGTGAATATGGCAATGAATATGAGAACAAATTGTAAAAAAAATGTTTTAAATTTATATTGCTTATTGGAAAATATTAGGTTGGTGCAAAAATAATGACGTAATAATGTCGTTTTTTGACGTATTTTTTAACGTCAAAAAACGACATCCTTACGTCATTATTTTTGCACCAACCTAATAGCACTAAAACTACTGTACAAAATATTACCTCATAATGTAACTAAAATGTTCAGTGTAATTTCTCTTTGACGTATATGAAGTTGTTATTTCATGGTACAATGTTTTAGTAATATGCCTTGTTTCTTGTCCATGCACAATTTGGGGAAGCTTTAGTAGTTAATTTTATTAGTTGGTGTAAATAATGACGTAATAATGTCGTTTTTTAACGTCAAAAAACGACATTTTTACGTCATTATTTTTGCACCAACCTAATAACTGCCCTTCCCACACGTTGCCAATGTGAAAGTAAATTCAGCGATTCTAACATCGTTACATTCATTAGAACTTCTTGCAGTTCATTATTTGAAAAGCCTTCCGCAAGCGTAGATTCACAAATTCCATTTTGTGAGTGGTTAATCAAATCTGAGCAGAGTGTCGCTTCAGAGTTGATGAATTTCATTCTTTTTAATCCCTTCTTTGGTAGATCCCTATTTCTGAAGCAAAAAAAACCCAAAAAAAAACAAACTATTTGGTTAAATTTTTGTGATGTAATTTGAAATTTTAAAATTAGTCTTGTAAATTGACATAACAAATTAAGCATGAATAAATGTTCGCAATTTTAGTATAAATTCTTCCCTCACTTCCAATGCATCTGACGTCAACATCAAGAAAATAATACTTTTCTGGAAACATGCCGAATGCATTTTGTTGTAAATTTTCTAACGCAACATTCTGTATTTTGGTCGACTGTTGATGTATTTTCTTGATCCTGTTGAAGATATACAAGTGTTAATTATGAAATGTATCATCCCTTGTCATTTTAAATCAACGAACAAAAATTTATTTCAATTATAAATTTTTAAAGCTGGGCTGTAAGGCTTTCACTTTTTTTTTTTTAAGCATTACGCCCCGAGCAAGGCGTGAAGCCACTAGGATGCAGGGGGTTGTAGAAGATTTGGAGAGAGAGCAGATAGGAGTGATAGAAGAAAGGATGAGGAGAGGGATAGTAGGTAGATCAAGGTAACCAGTGAAAGCAGCTCATCGGAGCAATTACCATGAAAGTATTTGTAGAAAAGACAGAGAGAGGCGACGGCGCATCTGTGAGAGAGTGACTGTAGACGAGACGACAGATCAGGGCCAATTAGATTACATATCCGTCGCTGGATGTTGTCAAGAAATCCGAGGTAAACAGAAGGTGCCCCAGACCATATATGGCAGCAATACTCCATGCAAGGGCGAATGGTTGATTTGTATATTTGAAGTATCGATTCAGGGGAGAAAAATTTCCTGGCGCGGCACAGAGAGCCAATTTTCCTCGCGGTGGAAGAAGCAATTGACTCAATGTATCCATCTCAGGTCAGCAGTCAGCGTGAGACCGAGCAGACGCAGGGAGTTGCTCTCAAGAAGTTGACTATCAGACACTCTAATGGGGGGGACAGGGAAGGATCTCTATGGTGATTAATAGAGAGTAGTCTATTTTTTGAGGCGGTAAAGTTGACCAGCCAATTCTTGCCCCAATTAACAACCGATTGGAGGTCCATTTCAAGATGAGCGGCCAGGTTAGTTTTGTCAGCGACACTAGATTTGTTTTTGAGGCAGGAGTAAATTGTAGTGTCGTCCGCGTAGATGCCAACTTGGGAATCTATTACCGGAAATAAATTTCAACGCTACCATTTTGAACCGAAACTTAAT